TCTCATGAAGCTGCTGGTGGTTTGAAACTGCTAACCTTGTGGTTAGCAACCCAACGCTAAGCCAATAATAGTCACATAATAAATTCACAATTCATATCAGAGGCCACATAATCAATACACTTTAAAATAAATTCCTTAAAGAATTTATTTCAAGAGATATTAATCTAAATTCTCCCGAGTAATAAACATCTTTCAAAGCAAACCAACATAACCCACTGCTGTCATGTGGATTTGCACTCACAGAGACCTTTAGGACACAGTAAACCTGGCCCCATAGGGTTTGTAAGCGTGTAAAGTTTTACAGAAGCAGATTGACAAAACCTTCTCCTGCAAAGCAGCTGCTGGTTTCGAACTACTAACCTTCATGTTAGTAGCTGAGCCCTGTAACCACTATTCCAGAATTCCTCAAATTTTTTCCATAAAGTTAATATATTAAGAACTGTAAAAAGAGTAAGTTAGTAATTGAATGTAAGATAGAATATTTAGTCCTAAAATGAATTATTCTACACTCATTTGACATCACACTCTAATGGAATTATTGCACTACTTTTAGTGCAATAAACTCAATGACATTACTAGTAAAGACATTGCAAGCTTGCTAATTAGGCTTATAGAGAAAAAAATGTTAGAATTTGTATAGCTTCTATGCAACAACCTTTGAAACTCTATGGGGAAGTTCTACTCTGTGATTCAAAAGGAACTTGAGGATAGCTGGGTATGAGTTTTGGGATATAAGTAGAGAATTGAAAAGTAACTCTAAAAATAGTGCCTAGAAATTGATTTCTACATTTTTGGATTTTAATATTTTGATTTTATACATAGACTGCAATAACTATGGTATTTTTCATTTTGAAATTTGAATTATATTAACTTGCCACCATGGACAATGCATAGTAGGTCAAACATTTGCTCATATCATATTGGGGAAAAGATATTTAAAAATAAAATACTACAACTGGAAACTAAGATAAAACCAAACTGACTGTCATTGAGTCACTTCTGATCCATTGCTACCCTATAGGGCAGGGTAGAAGTGCCCCTGTGGGTTTCCAAGACAGTAACTCTTCATGGGAGTGGAAAGCTTCATCTTCCTCTGTGGAGTGGCTGGTAATTTCTAACTGCTAACCTTGCAGCCTAATGTGTATCCACTACATCACCAGGGCTCCATAAGAAACTAAGACATACCTACCTAAATGAATGAACACACCATGTTCATGGACAGGAGGGGAAAAAAAAGAAAAGAAAACATTGTGAAAATATTAAAAATACCCAAAGCAATATAGAGAGTCCATTGAATGGGAAAAAGGCAGTCTCTTTAACAAATGGGGCTGGCAAAAATTAGATATCCTTTGCAGAAAAATTAACCAAGATACATATCGCACATCATATGCAGAAATTCCTATACATAAAACTTAAAACTATAAGGATAATCAAAGAAAAATAGGGCCAAATCTCAGGGCTTTCATTTATGGCATAAAGGACTAAACAAAATCCGAAATTCACAAACAGCAGAATATAAACTATAAACCAGAGATCTTTACAAATTAAGCCCTTATTATGCACATCAAAAGATTTTTCCAAAAGAGAATCTACTGATTGTGAAAAAAAAAATTGACAATGAGCGATCCAAGAAGGAACTAATCTCAAAATTTACAGAAAACTTCACCACCTCTACAACCATAAGACAATTGAAAACTAAACAATACGATTTAAAAATGGATGAAGGACATGAACGGAAACTTGATTAAAGAAGAGACTCGGGCAACTAACAAATACGAATGATATGAATAAATATCAATATCATCAGCCACTAAAGACGTACAAGTTAAAATAACAATCAGCGATCACTTCCCCCCAGCATAAGAATAAAGCTTGATCAAGGGCAGTGTATCCGAGAGGAATTACCAAAACCAGAATGTACATGATAGGGTGACGGGAGGAAAGTAAAAGGACATAGAGGAAAGACCTGGGAGGCAAAGGACATGTGCAGAAGTCTAAATAAAGGCAAGTATATATGGAAATACATTTATATACAATGTAGCAGATGGACATTAGGCCTTCACTCAAGTACTCCCTCAACACAAGAATAATTTGTTCTGCTAACACGGCACTCTGTGATGTTCACCTTCCCTGACATGATTGCTAAAGACAAAATTGGTGCATAAGCAAATGTGGTGAAAAAAACTGATGGTGCCCGACTATCCAAAGATATAGCATCTGCGGTCTTAAAGGCTTGAAGATAAACAAGCGGCAATCTAGCTGAGAAGCAAGAAAGTCCACATGGAAGAAGCACAGCAGCCTGTGTGATCATGAGGTGTTGATGGGATCAGGTATCAGGCATTAAAGAACCAAACCAAAACAAACAAACAAATAAAAAGAATATCAGTGGGAACGAGGGGGCGGGCAGAGTGGAGACCCAGAGTCCATCGGTAGTCAATTGGACACCCCCTGTCAGAGGGCCAGAAGGAAGAGAAGAGCTAGCCAGAGTGCAGTATAGCACTGATGAAGCATACACCCTTCCTCTAGTTCTTTAATGCTCCCACCCCCCACACCACCATGACCCCAATTCTATCTTCCCAATCTGGCTAAAACAGAACATGTATACTGGTACAGATAAGAGCTCGCAACACAGGGAATCCAGAGAAGATAAATCCCTCAGGACCAATAAGGGGGCAGCAGTACTAGGGGGGCAGCAGTACTAGGAGGGTCAGGGGGGGGGTAAGGTGGAACCTATCACAATGATCAACGTATAGCCCCCCACTCCCAGGGGGATGGACAGCAGAAAAGTGGGTGAAATGAGACAGCAGTCGGTGTAAGACATGAAAATAAAAACGAGAATTTATAAATTACCAAGGGGATATTGGGAGGGAGGGCAGGAGAGGGAGGGGGGGAGAGAAAAATGAGGAGCTGGTGCTAGGCACTCAAGTAGAAAGAAAATGGTTTGAAAAAGATGGTGACAACATATGTACAGATGTGTGTGACACAATGGACATATATATGGATTGTGATAAGAGCTGTAAGGGTCCCCAACAAAAGAAAAAAGTGCTAGCAAGGGGCTAAAGAGATTGGAACCCTCACACACTACTGGTAGGACTGCAAAATGGTGCAAATATTGTGGAAAACAGCATTTCCTTAAAAGTTTAGGAATAGGAATACCATTTGATCCAGCATTCACACTACTAAGTATATGTCCTAGAGAAAAAATAGCAGGGATACAACCATACGTACATATATCCATGTTCATTGCAGAATTATTTATAATAGCAAAATGAGAGAAGCAACGGTGGTAGTTATAAAGTCTGTTACCAATTTGAGAGGATTAAAAATGAAGGGGTGGAGTCTAGTGTGTCAATCATTGTATAGCCAATGAGACCTCTGCGTGGGCATGGCTTTCCCCTGAGGATTCTGGGAATTCCTATATTTCCTCCTTGGAGGCAGGAGATACACTCTCTTTCTGTGCACTCCCTGAGAGATACTCTACTGACAAGACATATGGCTAAGCTGATAGAGCCTCTGCCCTGGGAGCTGGAGAAGCCATGTGGAGACCTATGCCAGCGCTGAGATGCTTACAACGCCACTCGATCCACAAGACTTCCTATGTACTGGCCTGTGATCTTCCCACACTTGATGTCATTGCATGTGTTTCGTGAGTCTGAAGAGGAGCTTATAGTTTGGTAGGGCTAATATCACACTTATGGATTTGATCTGGACTGGGCTGTTTTATCAGTATTCAATTGCTCTCATTTATAAACCTCTTCCTTAAACAAATATGAGTGTCTATGAATTTGTTTCTCTAGTCTACCCAGACTAACACAACAACCTAAGTGCCCATCAACACATGAATGCATAAACAAAATTATGGTACATATATACCATGGAATACTATGAAATGTTGAAAAATAAAGTAGTGCTGTATCTCATAATGTGAATGAATCTGAAAAACATTGTGTTGAGTAAAATTAGCCAATCACAACGGACAAATATTGTATTAGTTCACTATTATATGTCACAGAAAGCTTATACAAAGAAAATAATACTGTTCGATGTTTACCAGGGATAGGAGGTAAGAAAAGGGAACGTTATAACTAGATAATGGACACATTTTAATATGGGTGACTAGAAAGACAATATACAATAAGGGGTGATTAGCACAGTATCACTAATGAAAAGGAAAGTAAGGAAAGGAGCACAAAAATTACAGATAACAAAGGTAAATACAATTATATACACAATCCTGCAATGTAAGTAATAATAAACATTCATATAAAAGTGAATACATAGGCACACAGGCAAAATAAACAGGGAGGAGTAGACAAAAAGAACCATTAATGACCATATATAGGTTTGGCAGATGATATTTCTATATACATATTTTTATTTACTGAAAATATGCCCATGTATATAATAGAGCAAACAGGCGGCAAAAGTACATCAGCTGCTTAGCCATAACCAAATATATTGAGCTGCTGGGCCTTGGGGCTTGGGATTCTATTCTTGGGGGAAACATCAAAGTCAATTGGTAAAACATAGTCAACAAAGAAAATGTTCTATGACATCATGCTTTGGTAAAGAGTGACTGGGGTCTTGTGAGTAGCCATCTAAGGTGCAACTATTGCTCTTTCCATCAGGAGCAAAAAATGGTGAAAAAAATTAAAAGCACGCAGAAATTATTACTTCAAATGACTAAATGACCACATAAACCTCAGCCTCCAGACCCTGAGGCCAAAAGAACTAAATGGTACCCAGCTGCTACTCTGAAAAGGATCACAATATAGAGAGTTCTGAATAGAGTAAGAGAAAAATGTGACACAAAACTTAAGAACATAAAAAGAAGCAGCTTTATGAGCCCGAGCAAGAGTGGTGAAACCCCCAACACTATAACGCTTCATTACTCTTCAGGTCCGCAACAGGCTCAACTTTCATTCAAACAGTAGGTCTTCAAAAAGAACACTGAAACCAGGGATATATGCACTCCTTATTACAATCAATCATATGGAATCAAAAGGGATAAAAGCTAATTAAAATAAGGACAAACAGAAACAGTAAACCTGGAAGGAAGTGGTGAGAGTGATGTTCCATTGTGGAACTAACCATAAATGTCACGTAACTAAATGTATGTGAGTTGTTGAATGGAAAACCACTTTAATTTGTTGTGTAAATTTTCACAAAAATCACAATAAAAAGTGAAAAAAGAGAGGGAGGGGGATATATGTCAGTAGCTATTTTTAAAGACTACTACTATCTCAATTGGTGCGAGAAGGCTTTATCATATAGGCTTCTCAGGCTTTGATTTTCAGTATTTTTATACCTCATCAAAAAAGAATCACAAAGAAGGGAAGAGTTACTAGGCTGGGGAGGGATGGGAAAAATGAGGACCTAATGTTGGGGATTTAAGTGGAGAGAAAATGTTTTGAGAATGATGTACAAATGCGCTTTACATGATTGCTGTATGTATGGATTGCGGTAACAGTTGTATGAGCCCCTAATAAAATGTTTAAAAAATTAAAATTAAAAAAAAAACCTCGAAGGGAAAAAAAAAGAGTCACTAGGCTAATAGAATTTAAATACAATTTTGATCCAAAGCAAAAGAAAAAACAGAATACATATCTGCTGCCACTGAGTCTATTCTGATGCATAGAGACCCTATTGGACAGATTAGAATTGCCTCCATGTGTTTCTGAGATTGTAATTTTTTCCAGAAATAGAAAGCCTTGTCTTTCTCCGATGGAGTGGTTGGTGATTTCAGACTGTTGACCTTGTTGTTAGCAGCTTGATGTGTAACTACTATACCATCAGGGCTCATTAACTAAAAGAAAGCTATCACTAAATGTTAGATGTCATTTTTTACTTAGTCTTTTCATATGAAAGCACACGCTAAACATTGTGGATCTGACTCCAAACAAATATTAATATTGCACATTAAGTGATAACAGTAAAAACAAATCAGTACTCAGGTAGCATACCTGTATTTTCATTTGTGATGTAAAAGAATCCTACACTAAAAAGTGTAATGCATAATCTATTGCGAAAGTTTGCAAACCCAGGTTGCTCCTTGTTTAACTGAATAAAATCTTATTGGGACGGCCAATGTTTTATAACCATTGTTTATAGCTATTTTAGAACTATAAGTTGCAACACAGACTACAAGTCCTAAAAAGTCTAAAATATAAATTTGTCAGAAATTTGTCTTGACAATTAAATATAAAATTGTATAATTTTATTAAGTTTCAAGAAATTCTAAGACCTTTATAACTTCTATGTCTCATCAATCACAAGGGGTAGTTTAGTCCATTAATAATAGTAACCTTATTGAGTTGACTCCAACTCTTGGCAATATCATGCATGAGAGAGTAGAACTATAGGGTTTTCTATGGCTGATTTTTTTTAAGTAGGTCATTTTTCCAAAGCACCTCTTGGTAGACTGCAATCTCCAACCTTTTGTTTTGCATGACCCAGGGACTCCTAGCCTATTAAGATGTATCTTAATTGGATGTTTTTAAAATGACAAATCATGTTAGAGATGGTAGTTGTGGTTTTTATATCTAATGTACAAATTAATATATATTTACTATAGAAAATTTATGAAATATGCAATAACAAGAAAAATTACTTATTGATAATCACTAAAATTATATTAGCTCAACTTTTTTAAGAAAGGAAGTGATGTGAAGGGTAGGAAAGAGAAGGGAAAGGGTGGGAATTAAAGTGAAAAAAAAAGAAAATTGGAAAGACAATATACGATAAATTAGAGACAGTCAATAAACAATAAATAATGTATATAGTATGCAAAATGCCCATCACTGCTATGCACAGAAACAAAACTAAGCAGGATAAATACAGAGTTATAAATTGAAACACCAAAAACAAATAAACTCACTGCCATCAAGTCAATACGTACATATATTGACCCTATAGGACAGAGTAGATTTGTCACTGCGTTTCTGAGGTTACAACTCTTTATGGGAGTAGAAAGTCTTGTTTTTCTCCCAAGGAGCTTTCAAATTGCTGATCTTATGTTTAGCAGGCCAATGCTAGCAGGGCTTCAATGGATTGAAATATGTTGCCCCAAAATATTTGTTGTAAATCCGAACTTCTATGCCTGTGGTTTTCATCTCATTTGGGAAGGGGCCGTCTTTGTTATGTAAATCAATCAGGATAAGTATAGGTGTACTGTAAATGAATCTCTTTTGAGATTTAAGAGATTAAATAAGCCGAGCAGAGATGGGAGAAGAGAGAAACTAACCATATAAAGATCATCCAGGAAAAGAAGCTGAAAGAAACAAGTACCTTTTTTCCAGAGCCAAGAGAAAACAATGCCTTCCTATAGAGCCCACTCCCTGAATCTAGATTTTGACTTTTAGCCTCTTAAATGATGAGTACATAAATTTATATGTTAAAGACATCCACTTGGGTATTTTTGTTAGAGTAGCCAATCAGGTGTTGGTGTGTGGCTTACCATTTTAAATAGAGTAATAAGATGATATTAGAGGTGACACTTACACAAAGTCCTTATAAAGTGCAGGGGGTGGAGGGTGGAAAGCCATGGGGGTATTTAAGGATTCTATAGACAGGAAACAGCGAGAGAAATGGTAGGAAATACCTAGCGTGTTCAAGATAGAGCAGAGAGGGTAGCAGTTGAAGTAGAGTAAGAAACGGCAAGTGAGTATTTATGAAGTAAGGTCAAAAGGGACAAAGCTTTATAGGGCCTTGTTGGTCATTTTAAAGACATAGGCTTTAACTCTGAGATTGGAATCTACAGGGGTTTGGAACAGTAGTGACATGATCTAGTTTCTCTTTTAAAATCAATCTGACCTCTGAGGAAAGGCTAGATAGAGGCAGGAGCAAAGACAGGGGAGACACTTTAAGATCAGTCAGAAGTATATTTCAATGTAGGCCTAAAACCTACAATGGTAGGAATGATCGAAGTCCTGAGAATTTGTCAAAATCTGAGTATATTTTGACAGTAGAGCAAATATCATTTGCTGGCCAATTAGAAATGGGGTATAAAAGAAAAAAGCATGAGATGACCCCAAAAGTTTTACATTCAGTAATTGGAAAAAACAAAGTTTCCATTTGTTGACATGGGGAGGTGCAGACGTGACCATATCCAGCGAAAAAAATTGAGGAGTTAATTACTGTAAATGTTAAGGTTGAGATGCTTCAGAGATAACCACTTGATGACATGAAAAGATTGAACACACCAGTATGTAGCTAAAAACGAGGCCTATATATATATATATATATATAGAGAGAGAGAGAGAGAGAGAGAGAGAGAGAGAGAGAGAGAGAGAGATGATACTTGAAGCCTTGAGACTTAGTAAACTCTCTAATGGAAAGATTGATAGAGAAAATGTCCATGAATCTCTAGGACACTCCAATATCCAAAGTGTGCAAAAGAAAATGAGAGAAAACTAGTAAACCAAACTATAAAGGAATCAGTTTCATAAATATTTTTCAATGTAACCAAGTACATTATTTTCTGTTTTATGAGAGGGTCTCCAGGTTCTAGAAATAATCAGTCAGATTAGATGGTAGGAACACAAGAAATTGGTAATCTCCACAAACAAAATCCATGACATAATCCTGTCTCTGGTCAAATTCTGATGTCAACGTTTTTTAATTGAATTCACATTCAACCCAATTCTTGCTAACTCATATAGCAAAATATTATTTAAGTAATATACAAAAAACATTAACTGGTATACTAATAGGAAAAGTAAATGAAAAGTCTCTCCTTTTTAAAAGTGATCTTTTTGACTTACATGTAAAAGACAGTTTCAGAAAGATTCTTGTTTTGTTCTCAGTATCATAAAGAAGATGGCAAAGTTCTACTTATTTAGTTTTATTAAGTGAAACTTTATTTGGCGGTTCCTAAGACTTTTACAACCAATATCTGGTAAAAACATTTTTCAAGTTAGAATATATTTATATCTTGTCCAAGAGATATTAATGTGTTTCTTAAGGCATTTATTTACTACTCATCTCTCCTCTTTACAAACTGAAGAGATATAAAAGTTGTTTCATATTGTATTTGAAGAATCTCTCTAATCCTTCTTCTAATTAATTCTAAGGGAATAGATTCATATAAAAAATATTTATTTAAAAAACTTGTCTGCAGTCTAGGAGGAATGCTCCTAAGAGAGGATCTTTCTGTTCTTGTTATCTATACAATGTGTGTGTGTGTGTGTGTGTGTGTGTGTGTGTGTGTGTGAATTTTCATCAGATGTTAGAGGTATGGTTTCAGTTTTCTTACCTGTATGGAAGTAATAGAAGCTGAATGTCCCTGAAGCACTGCAACTGGTGCACAAGTTCGAAGACACCATACTCGTACAACCTTATCACAGCTCCCTGCGGCAATCAGTGTATTTTCATAGTTAACAGCCATGTCAGATATTTCAGCAGAGTGCCCTCTAAGTGTAGCAAGGAGACGCCCATCATCTGTAGCCCAGATTTTTACCAAACAGTCATCTGAACCCTAGAGTAACACAAAAGCACAGGTTTACAGTGAAGCAGAAATTGGCCAATACAGACACACACAAGACAAGCCCCCCGATCCCCCCAGAAAAGCAGAGAGTATTGTATTAAGTTCCTTCAAAGATTTTCCTTTTAAGTTTCTTCTCTGTATAATATGGATCCAGTCATAAAAATAAACAAACCCTAGATGATAGCACTAAAGGTACTATTCAAATTAGCAATGACATTTATAAAAACTCCTCAAAAATATTACTAGTCCAGATAACTCTAAATTGTTTTAACTCACTTTTAAGTGATTTGGCATTAACTGACTGATCTGAAGTAGTTTTCTTTTAATTGCTTGAACTTTTTTCTCTACAAATACTTTAAAATATAACTAAAAGTCTACATGCATTTCTTAACAAACCTGAAGCAGTTAAATAATGGCTGTTGAAAATACTGAATTAAAATTCCTACTGAGAATCTCAAAAGAATTTTTAAAATAGTAAAAAGCAATTCTCCTCTAATGTGATTGATGTTATTTAATAGTTATCTGTTAACAAAGAGGGCAATTGTCATCCTCATTATGATCATCAACATGCAAATACTGATGTGACACATTTAGAGTCCTAAAGTTGTCAATGGATGAATTTGTAATGAACTTTAGAGCTATACTTTCACCAAGTACAAACCACTTCCAATATTGTAGCATACCATTGTAAAAAGAAAACTATGACATGCATACTTCTATATTAACTTAGTACTTATGCAATGAGATTAAACCTCTTGGGAAATGTTAGTGTGCTACAATTCTGTATTCAAAAGCATACAATATTATCTGATTAATAAAAAAACTCAATTTAAAAAATAACGCATACTAAAATAAAAAATATATAAAACAACTATAATCTTTATAAGTACATAGGTTGAGGTACTCAATAAGAATAATGTAGTTAATAATTAAGTAAACTTGGCAGAATTATGCTAAAGGGAATCTGTATTTTAATAAATGTTTGCTAAATTGGAATAAAATTCAGAAACTAAACTTGTTTCACATAAACTAACCACCTCTAGACTAACAGTTGATTATATATAGAATATAAAAACAGAAGATTAATTTTCTTATATTGCTTCCCCAAAGACAGTAGACATTGTTTTATAGTTTACCAATTTACCCATACAGTATGAGAAAAAGATTTTCAGTTTCCAATCATCTTTTTCTACATTCACATATCCAAAAAGGATAAATTCCCTATAAAGTATAATGGAATGCTATGAAGTCTAGCTCCCATTGCTACAAATTTCCAATATACTACAGCATCATAAATTTAAAACTCACTGTAAAAATTCTTCTCCCACTGCGGTCAAAGGCTACACAGTAGACAGATGATAAGTGACCCAGAATTCTCTTATGCATCTTAATGTGCTGGTAAGCAAATGAAGGGAAAATATGGCTGAAGCGACTATATCCAGTTAATTGCCTGGCAGAAGTGATGTTCACTGAAAAAAACAAAAACAAAGATTCACTTCTTAAAAATGAAAATTTACTTTATAAAGTTAATTAATGAATACTAAGATGAGACAAAACAGGGTACACAACACAACACAGCAATTCTAGCCCATGAAAAGTCTAAATTTCCTTATTTTATAAATTAAGTCCACTATCCAAAAACACTAAGCATAGTCTTCTGTTAAATCCCAGGGGTCTGACCTATCTTTTTGTCTCATTATGATTTCCTTAAGCACACTCATCTTTCTTGATACACTGTAGTAAAAAATACTGTCAGTTAAAACACATAGGCAAATCTTACTATACCATGAGAAGTTTTAAAATTAACACTATATTTGGTTCAAATTTATACAAGGATTTTTTAGTGAACTTGAGCCTCAACCCTGCACGTCGGTGTACACTCATAGCTCTCCTTAACCACTGACACGTTGACAAGAGGAGAGAGCCCTGGTGCCATCATGGTTATGCATTGGGCTACTAACCACAAGGCCAGCAGTTCAAAGCCACCAGACAGCTTGGAGGGAGAAAGTCAATATTTTCTACTCTCCTAAAGAGTTAGTCCCAGTAACTCACAGAAGCAGTCCTACCCTGCCCTATCGGGTTGTTATGAGTCACAATTGACTTGATGGCAGTGAGTTCTTTGGTTTTATGATACTATTTAGGTTTTAAGTAATAAACAATCCATTCTAGGATTGCCTATGTGTGCTCCATTTTGGGGTTTTTGAATCTGTAGACATTCTTCACATTAACAATGAACTTCAGAAGCATCAACTCCTATAAAGTCATCTTGGGTTCTGCAGCATTATTTTGTTTGCTTTGCCTTGTTCCTCATTTTCTTAAAAAGCCACTGAAATAAAGCATAAGTCTACACAACTCTCCAAATACAGCTTGGATTCTCCTCACTTTCCTGAAATGAAAAACTTCATCCCCATGTAAGGATTTACAACCACCCATTGCACCATAAAATTTCTCCAGATTTCCCTTATACAATGAAAATATTTAACACCCAACATCTTATATTTCAATCAAAACATAAGATCCCCCTAAATTCAAAGTCACTTTGAATCAAGATCACACCGCATAAATACAGTACAAGTGATAATAGCTTTATGTTTAAGCAAGGCAAAATTAAGGCAAGAATTGAGTTCTAGCTAGATTAGTACAATTAGAACCATGCCACAATAAAAAATATGAAACCTTTCAATGTCTCACAATCTTAAGAGCAATGGAGTCTTTCTTTCAGGCAAAGGTAGATCCACTGGCCATTTTAAACTGACAAAATGAAAAAATGAATGGTGAATAGCAAAATCAGCAACATCTTGGACGTAAATCATAAAAACAAGTTAGAGATCTGAGTATTTATGTAATACTGAGAAGCTGAGTAAATAATGGTAGAATGTGCATAAGCATCAGTACTATGTAAGATTTTTCTTGGTAGTGGCTACTCATCTCAACCTCCAGAAAATTCTATAGGTCAATGGTGAGATGAGCATGTATCTCAATTTGGAACTTTAGAAATTCTCCTCTAATCAAACATTTCTTGCTTTTGCTTTTCTTTTCTCAGTCTATACTTTGCAGGTGGATGGAGGAAACCAGTATGCTATTTTAAGGCAGAGTTTCTCAATCTCGGACCTATTGATATTTTGAGCTGGATTATTTTTTGTTTTAGGGACTATCTGGCCATTGTAGGGTATTTAGCAACATTTGTGGCCTACACACTAGATGCCAGTAGTAAGTCCCCTTCTCAAGGTAGACAAACCAAAATAATGTCCAGACATTGTCAAATGTCCCCTTAGAAGAGTAAAACTACCCAGGGCTGAGAACCACGGCTTGAAGGTATAAAAGCAAACCTAACATCAACAATATCAACAGGAAAAAGAGAAAACAACAAAAGAGAAAAGAAACTTCCAGGAAAAGAAAGAGCCACAGGAAGGAAGGAAGGAAGGAAGGAAGGAAGGAAGGAAGGAAGGAAGGAAGGGAGGGAGGGAGAGGGGGGAGGGGAGGGGGAAAAGAGGCAAACAGTTACCAGTGAGGAAAGTCATTCACTCATTCATTCATTTATTCATCCAACAAATTATTTGAGTTCCTCAAAGGAATATAACTTAGCATGTAAACACACAGCTTATAAACTTAGCATATAAACATGATGATTTTAACCCATAATAATTAGGATCGCAGACTTTCAAATCAGGAAAAATTGTTGGGCATTTTATGTATCTTTATAGTGTATATAATTGAGCTTTACTTTAAAAAAAATCCCTTTATAAAAACCTAATAAATAATTTAAAAGAAAATTGGGAAATATTTGCAAGAAGTATAGCAAAATCTTAATATTTAAATGCATATAAAACTTAGCAACCATCAAACCAAACAGATGATTGGGTAAAAGAAATTAACAATAAGGCACAGTAGAGAAAATATGAATAATGACCAGAATCACAGAAAATGTTCTATTTTACCTATCAAAGAACTCCAATTGAAAATAAGGTATAGTTTTGAACCCACTAAGTTAACATTAAAAATATTCTAAAACCTAATGCTGGCAATCAAAATGGAAATGGCATACATCTACTCTTCTAGTAGCACGGTGGAGTAATATGATCCACTTGGAAAATAATTTGGCGATACATTTCAAGAATCATGCAAATGTAAACATCCACTGTCTCATCACTGGGAACCTATCCTAGAACTTTATATACCTGATTACCAAGAAAAAATGTATATACAGTACATGTTCACTGGTGTGTTCATTAAAATAACTGAGTGCAGTTAATAAGAATGGATAATTAAAAACTATACAATGGACTAATATGTAAGCATTAATAGTGAAAATATACAAAACTATAGCAATGTAGAAAATTTTAAGAACTATAAAACAAGGTATATAAAACAAGATTGGATGTGGACTATGGCTTAAATTATGTAAAGATATGTGTACATAAATGGATAAAATTTAGAAAGAACAAAAAGAAATGAAACCAGTCTCTTTGGGTTGAAAGTGTTTAAAATTTTTCATGAAATCTTTTTTTCATATGTTTGAAATAAACTTGTTTGTCACTAAAGACTCCGTGTCCATTTCAGTTTTACTTTTCCTCCATTTTTTAGTTACTCAGACTAATATTTAGGTCCAATGGGTAAGGAATCTGGAGGTGGCTTTTGGGGGGAGGTCGTGAAAGAAACAGTGTAAATAGTTACAGAATACTTTTAACCAAACATTTTTAACTTAAATATATGTTTTCTATTGGAGTCTCCCCCTAGTCATCACTGAGAGTGCTCTGGTGGTGTCGTGGGTCAGACATTGGGGGGCTAACTACACAGTCTGCAGTTTGAAACCACCATAGAAGAAAGATGAAGCTTTCTGCTCTCCCAAAGGCTTACAGCCTCAGAAACCCAGAGGAGCAGATCTACTTGGTCCTATACAGTTGCTATAAGGCAGAACTGACTTGTCAGAATTAGGTTTGGTTTGGATTTTGAGTCATCACTGAGCCACCACAGCCACTGAGTGATTCTGCCTCACAGCAACCCCATCTATATAACTTCCCCACGTGGTAGCTGGGGAGTTTGAACCACCAACCTTTCAGTTAGCAGTTCAATACTTACCCCAACAGTGCCACCTGGGTTCCTTGCTACTCATAACAGTTACAAAATGTTCTAATGTGTTGCACATATAACCTCAGAAATTTTCAAAACTGTATTTATCTATTCCCTGAGATGACAAAATCTATAAATTTTTCTCAGTCCACTCAACAGGTAATGTTAGCAAGCCTTTGACTCCACTCAGGAATTCCATAAACACTCACTTTTGCATGTATTCTCCATTTAGTCGGTTTCCCAGTACTATTTATTGTTTTATTCAGGTATCGAATAGGGTATTGTACATTTTGCATTTAATGCACCTAGTTAAATAACATATGTGCAAACATATTAAGGGGCATCCAAATGGAATTACATCATTTAATTCCATTTTTCCATAAACTTTCTGAAACCCCCTTGTATATAGCACATACCATATATAAGAAACTAATGTGCAAGAGTGGTGTGGCAGATACATAATCTGGTGTCAGTTTGATAGGATTACGAGTGAAGGGGTGGAGTCTGGCCTGTCAAATCAAGACATAGCCAATGAGGCCTCTGTGTGGGCATGGCGTTCTCCTCAGAATTCTGGAAATTCCTTTTTTCCTTCTTGGAGATGGGAAACACTTTGCTCTCTGGGCTCACTCCCTTGGAGACTCCACTGACAAGGCTGACTTCCTACAAAACATCCCTGAGGAGAAGCCACATGACCTACCCTGATGCAGCCCTGGAAACTGGAGGAGCCACATGAAGACCCCTGCCAGCACTGAGAAGCTTCTACCACCACTGACTTTGCACCCACTGGCCTGTGATCTTCCTGCATTCAGCATCATGCATGTGTTTCATGAGTCCGAAGAGGACTTTATAGATTGGTATCAGACATATGGGCTAATGTCGGACATATGGGCTTGGACTGAACTGGGCAGGGATGCTTTCCTAATGTACAATTGCCCTTTATATAAAACTCTCCCATATACATATGAATTTCTATGGATTTGTTTCTCTAGTCTACCCAGACTAACAAAGGGGGGGGGTTGAGTTTTGATGCATTATTTGCATAAAAACAGTAGGCAACCCCCATGCATTACCAGGGATCTTTTCCCCAGTTGTTAATAGCTGATAAAGGAATATAAAGAAACAACAAAAAGGGCTCATTTTTGACTAATAAAAAGAAGTAGATCTCATTTTTCTAGCACACGGGTCAACAAACAGCAGCTCTCACGCCATATGCAGCTCTTGCAATATGCACATGTGGCTCTGAAGTGAAATTGAAAATGAAAAACTAAGTTTTATTTATAACATTTAAAAGGATATTATCAGATAATGGTGGTTTCATTTGTTTTTATAACATTTAAAAGGATATTATCAGATAATGGTGGTTTCATTTGTTTTTAAAAATAATCTTTTTGGCTCTTGA